GTTTTCTATTTGAAACTGATTATTTTTAATTGTTTCACTGTTAAAGTGAGTTGACTTGTACATCTATGGAGGGAACCAGCATTTGTTAGTTAATGACTGTATTTTCCATATTGTAACATGGATTAAGGTTTAAAGGGAATCATATTGAATCGGATATTTTCCTCTTTAAATGGAGGGTCACTTAAAACAACAATTCTTTTGAAGGAACTGAAAACTCTCCGTGAACTCAAATTATCCAATCTTTACAACCTGATGTCGTAGACTTTTAATTTCTATGAATTCTGATAGAGCTGAGCAGTCAAAGTTTAAAATATGACAGATTCACACCATCAGGTTGCAAATATATTAGAGTGAGAAAATTAGAGTTTGAGGCGAGTAATCAATCAATACCTTACCATAATAGATAATTGGAGAGGACTGAAATGCTAAAGATCTTTACATTATATTAATTTTTTGATCTATATATGTATACTTTGCAAAGTCTGTTTGTCTGCTTGTTTGTGACCGATAAACGTCAAAATGGCTGAACCGATCGGGCCCAATTTTTTGTGGGACCTCTACGATCCCAGAGAATGTGTATAGATGCTCAGAATTACAAAATTTGTCTTCAAACATTTTTATTTTTGTAAAATTATGAAAATGCGCGAAAAAACAGCATTCAATCCGCGAACGTTTTTTTTGTTATTGTATTATATTATACAAAGAGAAGATTCATGGAAGATGCTCACAGATAGAAACACATTTCAAAGTTGAAATAGAAGATTGGCGCGAAGTGTCCTAAAAGCCTAGTGTTCTAAAATTCCTTCAATTCAATATATGTATGTGTACGTTCTAGGAAAATTAAATTTATAGATTAGCAGAAGAAGGAAGTGAAAATACTTCTTCAATTTAAATTAGGATAAACGGATAACTAGGAATACATGTTCAATAGTTCTGCATTTTGATTAAAGGCCCTGCGGCTGAGGTATCAAAGTGAATTCCCAAGCACTGCTCTAACATGATTAACCCTAATTAAATCCTAGAACTAATTTATTACTCCCTGCTGTCTACTGCCTGCGCTGAATAATGAAGAAAAATACTTCTAAAGGATTTACTGCTCGCTATATAAAGGGACTGTAAACGCAATTTCGAATGACCCACCATTTATAGTGTGGCATGTCCGATTCACCACAGTTTCCTGAAAAGTTTGTATGATCTAGAATGAAGGAGATATCCATGATTTCTCTTGAAACTTATAACTTATTTCTAATCGCGGTTTTTCTATAAAAGTGACTTGCTACAGAAACAATGAAAGAAACTGTTAGAATTAAAGTTAGAAAAGTTTTTAAAGTTAGAAAAAGAACGATCTATTCAAAATTATTGACCAGATAAATATTTAAATGGTTAATCATGGCATGAAACTATTTCAAGAAACGGCGTCTTAAAACTTCTTTAATTCCCTTTTAACATCGAAAAATCAAACAACAAGGAAGAAAAAAAGATGAAATTGTTATGTTCAATGCAGTTTAATGTTATTTTAAGCAAGGAAACCTGTACATTACAAATCTGATATTTCATTATTTATTCAAAATAAATAAATTTTATTTTAAAATGGACGATTTTTTATCAGAAAAAAATAATTTGGTCAATTAGGCATAAATTACTTGAAGGAATTGAGTCTTGGCTACAAACTTCGAATTCTGTTAGATCAAATTATTTAAGTTTGACATATTAAAGTTTTAAACCATCGGTTGCAAAGATATAAGAATTAGAAAATTTGAGTTTGTGGCAAAGACTCTAATCCTTTCGGCTTTAATTAAGAATAAACTCAATATTATTTGCGCCTCCACTTCGGATTGTTTTTTTTATTAAAACATTTATCTTTGCAGTCAGTTTATTTGTTTTACGTTGTCTTAAAGTAAGATATATATCTCACAAAATATTAGAATACTCTTGTCTGTTTTGTTTGGGTGTCATCTGTTTAAAGAATCATATGAATGGAAAGAGAACAATAAAATATTCTAATATGGCAGCTGTAAACCTCCATAAATCATTTTCTTATTTTATCCTTTTATTTTATCTGCAGACGATATTAAGAAGGAAGGAGTAGGGNGTCTCTGTCCAACTCCGACCAGGAAATAAGCTGTTCTCCGATAAAAATAACACAGTTCTCAGACAAAAAAAAAAGATTGTTCTTAGACCAGGAAGAAGGCTGTTCTTAAACCAGAATGAAGACTGTTCTAAGACCAGGAATAAGTTTGTTCTTAGAACAGGAAAAAACTGTTCTCAGGCCAGGAAAGAAACTGTTCTTGGACCAGGGAAGAAACTGTTCTTGGACCAGGGAAGAAACTGTTGTCAGACTAGGAAAGAAACTGTTCTTAGACCAGGTAGGATACTGTTCTTAGAACAGAAAGGAGACTGTTCGTAGAACAGGAAAAAAACAGTTCTCAGACCAGAAAAGAAACTGTTCTCGGATCAGGAAGGAGACTGTTCTTATACCAGGAATAAGACTTTTCTTAAACCTGGAAAGAAACTGTTTTCAGACCAGGAAGAAGAGTGTTCTAAGACCAGGAAGAAGACTGTTTTTAGACCAGTAAGAAAGAAGAATTTTCTCAGACCAGGAAAGGGACTATTCTCAGACCGAATAAAAACTGTTCTCAGACCAGGAAAGAAACTATTTTTTAGACCAGGAAAGAAACTATTTTTTAGACCAGGAAAGAAAATGCTCTCCCACCAGGGAAAAAGAATATTCTCAGACCAAGAAGAAGACTGTTTTTAGATTAGGAAAAAGACTGTTCTTAAACCATGTAGGATACTGTTTGATGAGTGCAGAATTCGACCTATATCAGATCTGATATATATCTGATGAGTGTAGAACTGAACCTATATCAGATCTGATATATATCTGTTGTATGTAGAACTGAACCTATATCAGATACCAGGTATTTATTGATATATTCAGGATATTCAAGAGAACTCATCTTCAGCTTCTCATAAAATCAAATTCTATAAATTAATCTCGCATTCCTAAAACTTATTTCTTGGTTTCAAGGTATTTAATAGATGAAAGGGGTGTTAGTTTTGATATATTGCATACAATTACAGATTTAAAAATAGGGAACTATAATCCAATAGAATGCGTAATTATTGTCGTCATTGGTATTTTTTCAAGTAGAAAAGAATTTTCTATTTGCCACTGTAAACTAATATCAATAACGTCTCTTTCATTTAAAGGGATGTTACAGTTTTAAAATAAATATAATTAAAAGTTAATTCAAAATTATAATTCTCCTGGAAGCCGTTAAACCCTCTCTTCTAGAAGATCTGTTTACTCTGAGTCCAGCAATTAAGCTGGACCCAGGAGATAGGATTAAAATCTAATTTATCTCAGTGGTAAATAATCCTGTGGGAGTACACTGGTCAATCCTTTCGTTAAACCTCAAATGAATTAGGATGAAACCCCAACCATAGAATCCAGTTTGTATGAAAATTTAAACCTTTTTATATCAAATCTTTAATCCATCTTTTCAATATTCCAGTCTCATCATTCAACACTCTTCAAAATCCTTTCAAACACCATTTTGAGTTTTTATTAACATAAAATACATTTTATTTTAATAAAACTAGCTACATATACAATATACATAAATATGCTTTTTATGTTTGTTTGTACGTCCTAAACTATCACGGAAAGTGCAGGAGTATCCTGAAAGCAGCTACTGTAGGATTCTGAGAGAAGCTATAGAAGCATACTGAGAGAAGCTACTGGAGAATCCTGAGACAGGCTTCTGGAGCATCCTGAGGAAATCTGTAGATGCATCCTTGAGCATTCTGAGGGAAGCTATACTAGAAAATCTCGCGGGAAGCTACTGGATCATCCTGAGAGGAGCTACTGGAGAATCTTGAGGGAAGCTACTGGAGCATCCTGAGACCAAGCTATTGGAGAATCTTGAGAGAAGCTTTAGGGGTATCCTAACAGAAGTTGCAGGAGCAGTTTAAAGAGAGCTACGGGAGCGTCCTAGCCGAAGCTGCAGACTGATGAGAGCTGCAGGAGCGTCCTAGCTAAAGCTAAAGCTGTAGGAGCAGCCTGAGGAGAGCTGCAGGAGCGTCCTACCTAAAGCTGTAGAAGCAGTGTAAGGAGAGCTGCAGTAGCATTCTAACCGAAGCTGTAAGAGCATCCTGAGGAGAGCTTTAAGAGCATTCTAACCGAAGCTGCAAGAGCATCCTGAGGAGAGCTGCAGGAGCGTTCTAACCGAAGCTGCAAGAGCATCCTAAGGGAAGCTGTAGGAGCATTCTAACCGAAGCTGCAAGAGCATCCTGAGGGAAGCCTGAATGCATCAATGAATAGACCATCATTAGGTCGACACGGGTTGAAGGCAACTAACCTGGAAAAAAAACGATTTTTATAAATTGATGTTTTATTTTAAAAGAAATAGTTTTTTGGGGATTAACTTGTTTTAATCGGAGGTTTACCTGTGAAATGTATGTATTTGAGTACAAGCAGCAGAATAGCAGGGAGCTAGGAGTCTACATGGTCCACCCTGTAGTATACATCTCTCCACCCTGTAATATCCAGGTATATATATATACAAGGAGCTAGGAGTCTACATGGTCCACCCTGTAGTATACATCTCTCCACCCTGTAATATCCTGGTATATATATACAAGAAGCTAGGAGTCTACTCCCCCTTGTAGTATTCATATATCCACCCTGTAATATCCAGGTATATATATATATATATACAGGGAGCTAGGAGTGTACTCCTCCCTGTAGTGTACATCTCTTCACCCTGTAATATCCAGGAATATATATATACAAGGAGCTAGGAGTCTACATGGTCCACCCTGTGGTATACATCTATCCACCCTGTAATATCCAGGT